GAACTATTGAAAAATAGGGAGATTGAGCATTTGTTTAATCCTTCTTATGAACTCTTAATTAATGCAGTCCGACAAACCAACAACTGACAATGCTTGTGATGAGGAGTAAAAATCTTAAGTTCCATGCTGTACACTATAATAGTAAGGAATCTGAAGTGAAGATGAATAAGATATTCACTGTTATTAGGATTTTATTGGGTCTTCAACTATCAGTTATCGATGGAAATCATTAGTTGGGTTAAATAACCGTAAGTTTTTCTCATGCCTTAATTCATGTAATTTAACGATTGGAAATATTGTGTTTACAATAATTAACGAGGAAACTTAATTTTGAACTGTTATAATTCTTAATGCAAATGATAGTGGAACATTATCACCCTGATTTTGGATAATTACACTTCTGACAGTGTAGATGGGGACACATACCACATGCCATACAGTCAATAAAGTATAATAGCTTCTTCAAACAATTTTTTATTTTTGATCTAGTAATTAATACTTGACATAAACATTTGGGTCTGGGCCATCCCAAAAAAATACGACCACTATTTTCAAGATAAAGATGATCAAATATCATTAAATTGATACATACTATGTTCAGTATCCAAGTTACAACTCTCACAGTAACCTAGGGGAAATCTCTGGACAATATCAAGGTTAAACGTAATAAATAAAATAAACTGAGCATTGATCAGATTGATAATTATTATAAAATAAAATAACATATACGTAATATCCCGATTATTAAGAAACTGAATTTCTGACGAGTAGGCCATTTCTTCAGAAAATAAATAACCAAATCAAAAATGTTTCAGTTGTACAAAGAAACAAATCAATGATTTAGTTCATGCAAAAACATGCCATTCAGACCAAAAGTGATTCGATAAGATACATGAATTTGTGTATTCATCTGCATCTGCGTGGGTGTGAAAAATATGTATGATACAAGTAAATACAAAGTTGTATATTAACAGTGGATTTAAACAAATTGAATGTAACTATTTTGGAAAATGGTGCCGATCGGTCAGACAGCTATGTCTTCCTTCCTATATATTGATGTCAACTGGATAGTTAAAAATAACGTCGTGCTATTGCTAATGTGATCAATAGATTCTAAAGTGCTGTGGAATTGTTACAAGGTCATCGGGAGGAGCTACGATTTCGCTAAAAGACCACTCAATATAAAAGATATCACAATAGACAATTTAATCTGTAGACAAAATTCTGTGAAGAGATCGTTCGTGAACGGGTAATGTTTAATAGAATCATTTTGTAAATAACGACTGTACAATTTAAATGGAAAATATTAATAATGATAAAAATCATTTACAAAATAAGTCTACGTTAAACAGCTCCACACTTCTAATGTATTCGAATATTTCGAAGGGTTGATTGTTTTATGGAATATTTCAATTCTGTGTAGTTTTAAGATTTGTTACAGATCTCATGACGATAAAGTCAAACTACGATCTCAATCTACAATTCAACTTTTATCCAACAACAAGCCGTCCAATTTTAGTAAATTTTTATGTTCCTTTAGTTTATTTAATTCTACTGTTAAATTTGATAACTACTCAAAATAAATTAAGACCCAGCGAAAGTTTTCTACTGAAAGGATACGTAAAAATAAAGTCTGAATACCAGTTTGAAAGTATTGGTGTACGTTAGATATAGTTCCAGTTAAATTTTTTCTAACTAAACAGTTCAAAAATGGTAGTTCATATTGTTCATCGTCATTTCCAAATCTGAATTTGCTCTGAACTAAAAATATATTTACTGGGTTAATAAAGACGTTTTTCTGACATATTTTTTCATTCTATCAAATCCACTTTTGTTTCAACGACACTATAAGCGTTTTAATTTATCATGAGACTATTTCAATAACAACCGGATGAGGAATAGTGAAACATCTAAAAAAGCAGTGATCTATACGAAAAAGGTAATCCAAACATATTATTTTGGTCACTACTGTTGCGCACCTTTCTATCACTATTGGTGATCATTGTCTTACTCCCAACATGGTTGGACTTCACCAGTCACAACTTCCAACTGGGAAATCATCTTGAAGCAAGCCTTTAATTAGCGCATGACTATATTGTTGTAGAAAAGTTTAGTGGAATAAATAGATGAGCACTTTTCCGGAATCTCATAATAGGGCAAGATGTCTAGAGTACCTTGGTTTTAATTTTCTCACAAAAGAAGTCACTGTGACAAATATCAGCCGCAGGATTGCTCTACTTAAACACCTAGATTGATCATAAGCATTGAAGTAGCGGGAGTTCGCCAACCATTTCTCGTTTATAGGAAATCTCACCAGCCTTAGCTGATTGGTGCTTGACGAAATCTCAGCACATCCGTAAATCTAGCTTGGCTATCGTAAGCTTATGATGTCCGATCAGCATTCTGCTCAGTGGTTTTGGAACATGGTTCTTGATGATGGGTGTCTAATAGGCGCCCTGGGTGATATAGCTCAGCATCCGTCCCAATAGCCCCAATGCTATCACTCGTTATATTTTTCTAGACTTGGAATTTTCAGTCATCTACAACGTTGGACCAGGCACATATATACATCGGTCCAAGTTGCTGTACCGCATTAGCACAATAAGATGAACACCGGATTCATGGAAGTAGTTAATTCAACGGTGGTAATTTTAGAATTATTTCATTTCACTTTGTTTCACAAACCAATTTTTTGTTGTCGAATCATATTACATGTCTAAATTAAATATATTATCACCGATACTTCCATTACTTTGGCACTCATCTTTGTAATTTTAGTCTCGTATGATGTGCCAACTTGGACGGATGCAAAAGTATCCCAAACTCTAAATTATCACTAAATATCTGAAAAATTAAATTATTCTTCATAAGCAACTTTCATAGAAGTAGACAGGATGATTTTATGAATAAACCACTGTTCTATTAATTTAAACAATCAAGACAAATGAAAAAAGACGAATTTCAGAGCTGAAAATTCAAGGATTGTAGAATTAAATCAATCATATTAAATTAATTCGTTTTCAGAAAATCAAAAAAGTATATATATGTCCCTTATATTTTTTGAGCATAACGTGCCGATCAACTAATTTAACCTGTTTCGATCTGAGGTTAATTTCAACCGAAATAATTTTCACATCTATGTAAATTAATATAGCTAATCATGGTGTTTTACTGGGGATTTTATTTTCCCTCAAGAGTAGTTGAGACGTATATTGACAAATCATATCCACTCCTACTGCATATTACTTAAGTTGAAAAGCATCGGTTTGTAGTAGGTAATTCATTTTTTCAATATTCAACGGTTAAGGACAATTGGCAGAAAAACCGGGCCTAGGTTTTGTCCTATCTGGCACTTGTCAGTATGGCATACCTGTAATGTCGGAACGCACGTCTTCGATTCCATTGCTAGCCACCATCAGCCTTTGCTTATAGATGTCGGGTTTCGAGCTCGACAAGAATGACATCTTAAAAATTTATGACGTCTTACGAAAACTATATACTACGGTACAATAGCACTATCCGAGCAAGTATTCTGGGAGGGATTTTAGTGGAAAATTTTTCACTTAAGAGAAAAATGTATCGTAAATCTCCTCAAGTCGACCTTGAACTTGAATTAGTACGTTTAATCAGGTGATCATTTTAAGGTGAAATATCTTTTTTATAGTTGTTATACTCTACAATTTAAAGACTGATACTAGCTAGTTTAGTCGTTCTTTTAAAATCTAAAATTTCAGAGAAAACATGAAATTCTGTCGATTATTTTTACCTTTGAAAAATGAATGTCTTCTGTTCAGTTTTGTAATCAGTAAGCTTTATTGGATCCATGCATGGATCCGAAGGTTTTCAATAGTGACATTGATTTGGCATCAGTTACCAAATAAATGTGACAAGTTAATTCATAAAGCTATAAACTATCGTCAAGTTGGATGGCCGACATATGTTTTGCTTACACCTCTTAGTAGCCTATTCTGTTTGACACATGAGTAGGTTCTGGGACGATTAATTAGAACGAAACGTAACAACAACCATTGACTTTTGGTAGAAACTTCCCGGTTTTCATCTGCGAACTAATTGTATTCTATGACAATCAACAAATTTATCCTTAAAATTTAAGTATTCACTCAGCATAATACACAGGAGAAATGAACAAACAACATGAATAAATACATGTATATAACGAATATTTATGTATGTGCGCTTTCACAGTTTAACAGAACTGAATCAAACCATTAGCACAAAACACATGTATTAAATTATTACACCATAATACAATAAGTGGATCTTTATAGAGTTCAAAGAGAAACAATTAAAATAAAGATGTTAAATCATAACACTATAGGAAGTTAAAACAAAAATTAGTTTAAGAAGGAAATGTTTAAGAGAAACAAAAAATCCACTCCAACTTCATGAAGTATGCTGGTAGTAAAGAAGAAAAAAAACAATCAATTTTTTTTAGAAAAAATATTATTAGTAAAGAAAACTTTGGATAGTAATAATTGATCGATTAGTTAGACAGATAAATAATTCATTGATTATAAATTACTCCTAAAGATAATGCTCTCGTTCTGTTAGCATAATTAATTGGTTCGAACTAGTAATAATTATTCACATTTTTGAAATAAAATAACAAAAAGCACAGAAAAAACGAGAGAGAGAGCGAGAGAAAAAAGGGGGAAAAATAAATGTGAAACAATCAACCAATTTTGTAAAACAATCAAATTGTTAATGATGGATCATAGTGATATTATTATCATTTTTAAAATTGATCAATCTGATTACAAAATTTGTTCTCTTTTTTCTTAAAAAAAGGATACACTGAAAAGAAGAAAATACACTATATTCAGGCATAAGCCGATTAATTTATCACTACTGTTTGAACTATAAAGGCACCAAAAAAAGAGATGAACAACTTCGTTCCCTTTTTACATAATCATCATCAAACCTTGAAGGTATATTATCACAAGAAAAGAAAGTATAATAACATAAACACACTGTAAAAATCATGTTCTGACTAAATTCTGAATCATTTGAAGGAATTCCTGATACGATGGAGCTGATTCTGTTTTATCTTCAACCATACAAGATAAGAAAAGTGATCTAAGATTTGACGATGAATCATGACGCATAAGAACTAAAGCATTATTAATTGGTCGACGTCTTCGAATCAGGTTTATTAGAGCAGATAACCTACGACGACCAATTGGAATAGAAGTATTATCATTAGTAATTGTATTTTGTTTTTCATTAGATAAATTAATGGGTGGTAATATGAAAGGACCACCTTGTGCAGGAAGTTGACGTGGTGATGAAATACCAAGAAGTTGACGTAAAATGTCAGAATCATTGTTTGATCCTGGAGAAACATCTTCACCACAGCCAACTAATAGTAATAAAAGCTCGCCAGTATCCAATAAAAATACACCAGATCGTGTAATATATTGAGCGGACAAGTGTAATTGACATGGTAATTGGTCAGCTTCTGAATTACTTTCACTTCCATTTGAAGAAGATGTTCCATCACAATCAGAAGGACGTTGGTCGTCATCATGATCAACTAAACGAAGACTAGCAGCTTTTTGTGCAAGGGTTGTATGAGAAGACAAAGGTTTTGAAACGAAACGATGTACAGCATATAACTTTGGATATATTAAAGTTAATAAATCAGTAGGAGGAGCAGTTTTAATTCGCTCTAGAGCAGCTGATCTATCATCTAAACGTGTTGTTACTCCAACTCTGAAAGCTTTAAAACGAAGCAAACCACAAATATACAAAGGAAGTAGTCGTAGATTCGGTGGACAAGGTAGACCGTAAGCTGTTGAGTTACTATTAAGTGTAATACCAGAAGTGGTAGCATATGCTGATAAAGCATCTGCTACAGCATTCGCTAAAGCTTCTCTAGCGTTTGAAAGACCAGAAGATATCGTTCGATCAACAGCCATTTTACTTAGAAGACAAGCTATTGCACCTTGATCTGCTCCTTGAAATACTTCAGTTGCTGTGTGTACAACTGGTAAGCATAAAGTATGTACACGAATGCGACGATCACCTTTCGATGACGTATATAATACAGCAGCCTATGAAAAGCAAAGAATAGTATGGGTTTATATAAATACTTTATTATTTCCATACTTATCTATAATTTAGACAAATCTAACAAACACTAAATCATTTTAAAAAGAAATAAAAATATAATTTCGAGCACGTTTAAATACGTGTAATTTTTTTATTGAGTTCCGACTAAATAAAATTAAGATTACATTTTACGAGTTTCAGGCAAAACTGTTATCAATCAAATAGACATTATTTTATATATAGTATTTCAATAAGTGGTTATACAATAAAACACAACATTTAATGATAACGAGTCAAAATGATATATCACACTAATGTTTAGATTACAGTATAGTTTAGTGGATACTAAAATGAAATCAAGATTACTGAACTAAAAATTTCAAGCAGTGATTTCCCAGAAGAAATTCAAGTTTACATCTGATTAAAACCTGGCAAATTCATAAACTATACCGTAAATATATTATTATTATTATTATTATTATTATTATTGTCTAAATATTTGAAAAAGATGTAAACTAAAGAATTGGTCTCAAATAATTGGGATTTGTGTAATTATGGGAGTTTATTAGTTCAGTATGAAGTGACAAATTTACAGCACAACCAATAAGTAGTTGACACCAATAATAATATACTTTTATATTTTAACTTCGCATAAAAATTGTTTGCTGTAACACCAATGGTGAATTTTACCGACAAGTAGATAAAAAGAAAATACCACGTTATCTCATCATGTGATTCATATACGTAGTAAACATAGAATGGCATTCTTAACAAGTATCAGACAAAGTAAACATTTGAAACAAGTCTTTCAATATAAAAGAAAACTAACAAATAGTTTCAACACTAATGTGAATAATATACAGAATAACTTATTCCACAAAATGGTAAGGGGCAGTGAAAAAACAATAAAAATGAGTGATGCACCATACGACCAGACAAAGGTTAGGTTAGGTATTAAAAATAAACAAAAGTAAATACGTATACACAGCGACAATGAACAAGATTGACAAAAATGAACTTCTTTATCACCATATATAGTCAAAAATCTAAGTCAGACTAATTAATGAAGAAAGTCGTTGACATACACTATGATATCAGATTTTATAAATTGAGACTTCTATGAGGTGCGACACAATCAAAATTTGTTTTTCAGTAAACAAACCATAAGGAATAATCATAACAAAACAATCGATCTTCAAGTTGGCGACACAATCATACTTTTTAGTATCATTAGTGCAAGATACAAAAACATAATTGTAATAAGATTTTTAGCATTACTCAACTCATCTCTACACCAGACAGTATTGTACATCGGGACAGTCTGTGGCTAGCCAGAAAAACATGTCCTATCACCTCAGTCAATGAAAACCTATAGCCTCATCAATCGGTTAGTGTTTTTCTTTTATCTAGGATCATATGCTTAACCTCAGCACTAACCAGTCCTATCATATGAGGCTAAATAATAAACACTAAAATAAAATACCATTATTGAAAGAAATTTCGAATGTGTCGATGAAACTGTACTGTACATAAATGGAATCAAAAGTCAACTGAGCTTCTTATTTCCATGTATTTTTTTACTTGAGAGTTAACCCATTGTATTACCTTTATCCATCAAACAATTTTGATCACTGGTTTAGCAACGTCTTTTAGTGCTATGAGTTCAAAATAATCAAGCTCTTTTGGGATAAGTTTTGACAAAATCTATTATTACGAAGTTTGGCCAGTGAGAACAAAGACTTGTTTTTCACAGCATTTGAGATTTGACAGTTACGTATGGACTTGTACTCTGACAGTCACTGGTGTTTACGCTGACACTAGAAACTAACACATTTTGGCCCAAAAAACAGCGTTATTCGTTAAGACAACTGCCCTGAATGACTTCCAATAAAATCGTCGATTTCAACAGCATAGTATATCGTTGACAGTTTATGATTGGTGATAAATCTTATATTGCAGTGACGCCCTGGTACGACCGAGGGTGGGGAGAGTCAGCTTTCTCGAAATACTCTCACAAAGCCACTGCCAAGGAAGTTCTAGTCAATGCCTTTCGCGGAGGGGTGTTTATGAAATTGAGATGACGAAAAGCGAATGTCCGGCGTTTTAACCGGGTTAGTGAACACGGAGAGTCCACCTACGGAAGTTGGAAAATCCTGATTCCTAACTAATGGTGTACATGGTCTCCAGGATCCTGAGGGAACAAATGGTGTATGAACCAATTATTGGTCACCGGCTACCATGGGACTGCATCTCCTGTTGTTGCTCCACTATCTTGCGGATCAAACCTTTAGGCTGAAGGCTCCAGGTGTGACTCCTTAAGAAAACCACCTGCTTCTGTATGGACACCCGGACAGTATCACAGCCCACACATAAATCAAGTGACTTGTGTGGCGCATATGTATTCAGTGCCCCTTTGTAGCAACATTTATGTGTTCAAATAATATAATAATAATAATAATATTTCTCTGATAAATGTTTTCATCGAAAAAGTGATTATGCAATAACCGTTTTTTCTATTAGTAGAATTACTAGTGATTTTAACTAATATCATTAGTTGTTAGCGAGAAAAATTCACCAATTTGTGGTCTGTATTTTGCTAGTTTAGCTGATTTGTAAGGAAGTGATCCACCCACCAATTCTATTGCATTCAACACCATACTGATCTGCACCAGAGTTTTAATTTAGCGGTTTCACAGACACGGTTAAAAATACAGAAATCAGAAAAGAATCCAGGTCAATAGTGGAAAAATGGCGGGCAAATAATGAAAAATTATTCGAAATAAGTTTTAAATAATTAACTAACTTGGCAACAGACTGTAGCACATTTTTCTAAGCTTTCAGATAAATCTAACTGGACAGCATAACCAGAATCAGGGCTCACATTTGGTAAAGCAATCAAGTCCGTAGAACGTACAAAACACGAACCATGGAAAGTCTATAGTGAAAGAAAAAATTAATATTATGAAAAAGGTTAGTGTTTTACAGTTCAAAAGGAAACGAACATGTTAACATGTTTCCTGATATGCGTGAAAATAGACTGCTTGTAAAATGTCTGGAAAATGATATGAGTTTGAGAGGATATACAAAGTCTGCAATTTCTCGATCTAAAGCAAAAGGGAAATGAAGATACCGCAGATTCATTCATCTAGATATGAAACTGCCAAATCGTACATACTTTTAAAATGTAACTGAAATGAGCACCTGCAAAATCCTAACCAACTCTGTATGCTGACTCCCACTATCTCTCTTACTTTTATTAATAAGAATGGCTTTCTCCACCATTTCAAAAATGATTTCTCTGTATTTTAAATAACCAGTTAAAAATACAATAATCAGACTGATTTTCATCTTCACTATTCTACGTGTTTATTATTTACAAATCCTTTTAACGCTTTTCAACATTATACATGAAATACTAGGTTAACTATAGAGAAATAAAATAAGGATAAATTAAAAGTAGTACACTTGTAGTGAAGGAAGACTTGGTGGGGATATCCAATTTATTGTTTAATACAAAATTACAGAATCTCTTCGTAAAATATGACAACTATACATTAAATACATCCTTTGCACATCTTCCATCAGTTGTCTGTTACAAACTTCATCGTTCCTTAATTCCTGTTGCTTTCAATTAAATCTTTTCAATTTTCTGCTGCCAGACATTCCCCTTGTGATTGATGTTATATACTACTTATATCTGTCAACATAGGTAGCATACACCACACACTGACAACACAATAATATACAGATGATTTTAAACTATTAGCTAATAATACTAACCTGAATAGCTAAACCTTGAGTACATCGAATACGCATAACAGCTTCAAAGCCAAGTTTTCTGGTTAAATACCGGTCGAAATCTCGACGAAATTGTTCCACTCCAACACATACATTTTTTTGTTGTTTATTAAAATCATCTGACGTAACATTAAGAGTTTTACCATCAGTGTGTAATATATGTTCATCCTCATCTGGTGTATAATAAAAGTCTGGATAATGATGAACTGTTCCACTTGAATATCGACTAGCTCCAGATATTGTGGCAATGTCACAATATTGAGAATTGAAAATAAACATATCAACTCCTACCTAGAATTTCAAAAAATAGAATATATAATATGGACAAGCACAGACAAGTTTCAGTAAGGCATAATAAATATTTAGTGGACTAAACTTTATTATTATCTCTAACAATTATTGAGAATAGCTGGTTTATTTTGAAATATGTAAATGATCTTATTTATTTCATCATATAATTATTCATCTGGTTCCCGTGAAATTATTAAACAAGGACGAATATCATCTATCGCACGGTTATTTTGTATTTTATCTGGTCAAAAAAAATTTCATCCCATTTTGTCCAATGAAATGATTAGTTTTAAAATAGTAATAATTGTCTATTTTCTGAAAAGTGATATAAAAAGTAAATACTCGTCGAATGATCACCTTTTCTCCAAACTACGAACGTGACGGGAATGGGGAGATGGAAAATCCTGAAAGAGAAATTATTGTGGGGTTCAAACAAAGAGACCGATAGAAGGCTCTTTTTAAGGCTACGCATAATTTGATTTTAATTTTAATTCTTTAATTCGTTACAAATTTCATCAATAAATTACTGCCATTCGCATCCCATACACGTTCTCTACATTTGCAATGACACTTCAGCCGTCATTAAGTCTAACGTTAATTATCAATGTAATAGCTTTACAGTCGCATCTGTTCCGTTTCGTATTTTTTTGGTAACTGTACTGAGATCATTCTTATGTATTCAACAAAAATCGTTAGGTAAAATCCTGTGATTACGAGAAACGGTCACACTGTAATAATGACATATTTAGGTATAATAAACAGTGGTAGTAGTATGGCCTGCAGTTTACGCTATACTAAATCGTACTGACTCAAAACAATGAAAATGTGCTTAAATACTTGACGAGGTTATCACAGTCTTTCCTTGAACGTAATACGTAGTATTAGTAAGACATAATTATTGGTACATATGCATCATATCCGTCTCACTGAAGGTGCAAAATAAAAACACAGTCATCCAATAGTACGCATTTATTTAATCGTATACATAAACATGTACAACAAGTACTAAGCCATGTGTCCTTCACTCATGAAAACATAAGAATATGTTTAGCCGTATAATTAAAAAACCTTTATTATCTGTGTTAAGGTTAATTTGTATTCGCACTGATCGATAAGTACTATCTGTTATCTGAGTATATGTCATTATGTTAACAGTGAATTAAAGGAAATAATCATTATACTCTTTATCTGTTTCATAATAGTACATACAAACTTCAATAACACATTTTCAATATTTTTTTGGCTTGTTTAGCTGAAGAATATAGACTTTTAATTGTTATATCAAAATTAAACTTTGGTACAGCTAAATTTCAATTTATATAATTGACCTCATTCGCATTTAGCAAGTCTAATCGACCAAAAAATTAATGAGTCAGACCTAACCCTGTTTAATAATAGCACTTGATACTACCTATATTTTAATTACTTCTCGAAGATAGTTGCTATTGAAACGTTTAGCTGTTTTGGGTTTGATATTAAAATATTCCTAAATTGGTAATTAGTACATAGAATTTGTCGGTGTCCCTCTAATATGCTTAACAAAGAAATCAAATCATTTTAAAAAATGATTTCTGAAGTGATTAATAAAAAAATTGTGAAGTTCAGTACATATTACTAATATGTTGATTAAGTTACTGTACGATAAAATGAATGGTATAGAGTAGATAGTAATGAATTGGTCAACTCTAGTTTTTTTTATATTTCAATTATTAAGAACGTTTGCGTCTTCATTAAGGAATTGAAAAATTAAGACAATGACTTTGTCTGACTGCATACCTACAAAACATTTGTTATTGACATTACATAGAATAAACCCAATATGATACTTCCCAAGCACAATACGTGATTTACACTGTTACATACACATGCAGGCAACGTTGAGTCATTTAGACTAATGGCCACATTGCAACTTGATCGATAGGATTCGATCTGCAGTAAAAAGGACTTGAAACACATGACATTAATTACCAACCAGATGTAAATATGCATTAAACATTTTATTAGCTTTTAGGTTTAGTAATCACTATCACAATTAAAAAACTGTCATACACGATAAATAGTCATCAGTTCTTCCCGGTTTAATTTTAACAATATGCATAGTCTTTCTCTTGTCTCGTACGCGTAACAGCATACGAGACCAAATTGGTCACAATCAAATCCTTCCTACACTTAATAATAATTGTCCTATCTACTCGACTAACCCTTCTCACGTCCCTTTATCACCTCGCACCGCTAGGGCAAACGATTCGAGTACGCGAAACGTCATTCCTGATCTCCTAAAACCACGCTCTAAACTACACGTAGGAGCATTTAACGTCCGAACACTGTGCCAAATAGGACAACATGCTTCCTTAGCTAGGACTTAAGAATCTCGCGCCATCGATGTGTACTGTGTCTCCGAAACGCGCATACAGGATCCGAATAGCGCGTCATTCATTTGGCCTCACCATGTCAAAGTGACGAACCAACTCGATTCACGCTTCGTTTATCTGGAAGCCAAGATGCTGCTTCCCGCGGCCTCGCCAGCGTAGGTATAGCATTGAGTCCTAGGGCAGAACTAGCTCTCTTAGACTGGATCCCAGTAGACAGTCGTTTGTGCGCTGTCCGACTAAACGGAACAGTAAAGACTCGGAAAGATAGGGACACTCGTAGTTGCCTCATTCCATCTGATTTTGAACATAACCAAAAGCGGAGTCAGCTTAAGCACAAGCTGACAAGAAGCCTACGCAATGATCGCGAACAGTGGTGGGTAGCAAAAGCAAGTGAGATGGAAAAGGCAGCGGCAATAGGTAATAACAGACAATTGTTCAGACTCGTTAGGGAAACCGGTATTAGGAACCCGACTGTTAGCGAAACCATCTCGGAAAAAGATGGACGTATTATTCACTCTCAATCCAGGAGACAGGACCGATGGGCAGAACACTTTAGGGATCAGTCCAACTGGCCTTCAGCCACACTTTGGTTTCCCACGATCTCCAGTCGACCTGACTGGCAAGTTAATGTAGGTCTTCCGACTCTTGACGAAGTTGAAAAAGCTATAGGAAATCTGAAGTGAGGGAGAGCACCAGGCCCTGAGAGGTTTACTCCTGAGATTTTTAAGGATGGTGATCCAGTATTAGCAATGAGACTAACTGAGGTCTTAGATAGAATTTGGAAACTAGACGTAATCCTATCTGACTGGTCTCAATCACTGATTGTGCCAGTCTATAAGAAAGGACAAAAGTCCTCTTGTGACAATCACAGAAGAATCAGTTTGACAAATATAGTGTCTAAAATATTAACTTCAATAATACTTTGACGCCTAACTAAGGCTCATGAAGAGCAGACTAGAGAAAACTAGGCTGGTTTTCGACCTGGACGTGGTTGTATGGACCAGATATTCACACTACGTCAGGTTCTAGAACATAGACACACATTCAGACACCCCACAATCGTAGTATTTCTCCACCTTGAGGCAGCATTCAACTCTGTTGATAGTGAGGTTTTATGGCAATGTTTGTCACTGAAAGGAGTACCAAAGTACGTTAACCTTGTAAAGCCTCTCTACTCGAACATAACTGATCGAGTGAGAGCTTATGGAGAACTGTTATCAGAATTGATTACCTCAAGTGGTATTCGTCAGGGCTGTCCACTCTCTCCAATCTTGTTTAACTTTGTTGTTGACGTGTTTTTAGAGATAACGCTTTCCTCATCTAAATTTGAACTTCTACCAGGAGATTCACTTGTTGACTTAGAATATGCAGATGACATAGTTCTATTTGGTGAAGACGATGACCATTATAAGCAACAATGCAAGCATGTTCGGCATGCGATTCTCCCCCTCGAAATGCAAAATGTTGCTTCAGGATTGGGTGGCATCGTCACCCGAACTAATGATAGAGAGTGAAGTAGTTGGACCTGTCGATCGCCTCACTTATCTTGGGAGTCTCATCAGCCCCTGTGGTTTGCAGTGCGACGAAATCTCAGCACGAATACAGAAGGCTCGACTAGCCTTTGTTAACTTGCGTAATTTATGGCGTAGGCGAGATATCCGCCTATCAACCAAACGACGGGTTTACTGAGCAGCAGTTCGTTCCATCCTACTTTATGGCAGTGAAACATGGCCGGTGAGAGTAGATGATATTCGTAGGTTACTAGTATTTGATCATAGGTGTCTTCGAAACATTGCTCGTATATCATGGGACCATCGAATAAGTAACGCAGTTGTTAGGACACCGGTAATAGGTAAGGATGGCAAATCAGTTGATGAAGTAGTGAAACTTCATCAGTTGAGATGGCTGGGACACGTGTTACGTATGCCCAACCACCGACTGCCTCGACGTGCGATGTTCAGTGGTGTAGGAATAGGTTGGAAGAAAGTTAGGGGCGGCCAGACCGAAACATGGCACAAGTCCATGAAGTCACTGACAAGTGATCTGAGCCATGTTGGTAGGTGTAGATTACCTGGTTGGGGACCGCGAGATGATAGCATTCGATGGTTAGAGACCTTGAATGACATGGCTCAAAATCGTTTGTAATGGCGCAGGTGCATCCATTCTTTATGTTCTCCCAAATTCTAATCTTCTGAATTCTTCATGTCCCTTTTTTCCTCATTCCAAATTTATTTCACAGTATTGTACTCCTTTAGTAACATCTTCAAACCCTAATCTTTCCGATTACTGCTTATACTCTTACCACCTCTACCACTACGGGATTTGGATAGACAATTGTATGTGTGTGCTAATGATGTATGGTAACTCGAACTGATGTACGTACGTACGACGGTCTACGTTGTTACTGACTGACTAACAACCGTGCAATAATTGTCAGCTAATAAGAACTTTCGTACTTCTATCTACTACATAGTATGTTAAATCTACCGTGTGGTGAATCAACGATACTTACTTACTGTCAAATTCGACTTAGAAGACAGTGCTTCAGCTCGCGCGTATAATAGTTGAAAGTAGATCGTAGACGCATAGATTAAATAGGTGTAATAAACCGAAAATGAGGGTAAACCATGTTAAACATATATCTTTAATAAATACCAAGCAAATATGTATACCTGTTTATGTGAACAATCCAAAGCATATGTTTTATAGAAGTCAGTTGATGGGCCCAAGTGCTTCACGTCGACTGAACTCCGATCACATGGTTCTTCTCGCAAACTGAGAGCACCTGAACCAACTGTTGGTAGACAAGTAGTGAATACGGTTATCCGACCACCTACTGCACCAATCAGCTTCAGAGCAGCCTGAAAGCAGATAATCAAAAATTCACCGAAATATTTTAGGTCCAGTTTAATGACTTCGATATTTATTATAAGTAATAAAGCCACTCGAAATTGAATCAAATATTACTTCAAGCTAAATACTTTAAGGACGGCTGGCATAAGAAAATGAATATAAAATTATCAAAACATAACCATTTAATAAGAACGAAAATGACTCAAGTTCAGTGGTGTGAACACAAATGAGCTATCAACAAGCCTGTTGCTTAATAGCAACCATCTGATGCGTAATTAACGCTAAACAAAATTTGCTTAACTATACTTTATCTGGAAAAGTAAAGACATTCTTGATAATGAGATTTCTGTACACGGAAGCTGGTTATTTAAAAATTATACAATATTTGCATCTTTAGCAAATAATAAAAGATTGGTTGTAAAAGATCTGTTTTCTAGTTACTGCTTGTAGTGTTAGAAGACGGTTGAAGTCTTATTCTAAATTATAATGCTACGTTCGTACTAACAATAGAGCAAGCATTTGATCTCTAGGATAACTAAGCCAGAGGTCAATAATTTTAAGTTTTATTTAAGTATTATCACATTTGAAGTTGATTGACGTTATCGATACAAATTCCGTAGTCAGGTGAATAAATTTTGGTGCTGTTTGAAACACACTACACTATAATAAGTGCTTAGTTACTTTTTGAAACTAATAATTTTGATATTTCATACATGTTTCCAATAAAATAACTACAACTACAATTTTATTGGTTATAGTAAAATACTTAAATAATCAATATGAGCAAACTCTACAAAATACTAGACTTTTGAGTTCTTTTAGTACGACCCAGTTACTTTTATTATTTGATGTTTCTGGACATCACTTCACTTGACAAGTCCCCAAATCAGAAAACGGTTGAACATTTTAAGATTTTTTCTCAAATGAAATTTTAATCTTTTCGAAAGTATTTTTCCGCTAAAAAAAATGGACTTCAACGTTTGGTAAAGTCTACCATAAAATGTATTACAAGCAAGAATAATTGCTTTTTTATTGCTATGAACACTTTTCATGAACTATTAGTAGGAAAAAACATTGTCCCTTATTACTTATAAGGTCTGATTGTTAAAGTGACAGAGCTATCCCTTTTGTTTTAAAAATGTACCTATTGTCTAGAATAAAGAACCACTTGGAGATTTGGGATATCCGAAAGAAACCGGTTACCGAAAAAACGTTTGTGAACTGAATTGCTTGCACAAAGCTCAGTGATGTTACCTGACAGCTCAAATAAAAATAGGTGGAAAGAGGTCCAAATGCGCGATTTACTGGTTGAAAACCGAATTCTTTAACTATCTAGTCACTGCTCCTGTACCAGTAAAGTATCCAATAACTAGCATATTAAGTTAGTAAAGTATATTTCACATTAATAACAAAATTACCTGTAAAGCAGATCCGAGACAATTTCCTGTATCATTTGTACCAATAAAATTTTCAGGTAAATGCAGAAGAAAATCGCGTAGTGAATCAGCCGAATCTTCAACTCTATTAATCAAACCTTCATCATCAGGTAGAAATATTTCCTCTAAATCAGGACAAATTAACATTCTCATAGTTTCCCCTAAAGCAATCAAAAGTGAACAGAAGTTAAACAATTCAATCGATTAAGGATTACACTTAATGACTGGTGGTAAATTTTATTACAACTAGTTAGTACAAAATAACTGTTTGGACAAAACTGCATAGAATCTGGTTCACTAGTAAATCGATGCTTAGTGTAGTCCGAATAAAACAGAATGTAAGCGACACGGGAAGAGATATAACTATCAAAAGGCAATTAACACAAGGGCTTGAACGAAGTATATTATTAAATAGGCAGAAAAGCATCATCACAGAAGCAAGCAAAATAATCTATCAGTATGGTTGTCCCAAATTCGTAACACAAAAAGATTGAAAGTAAAAAAGTGCTTGAGAAACATTAGTCAAGCAAATAAAATAAATTATGAGCAGTGGAATGTATTGTTGTGTTTTATGTATTGCAGTTTCATCCACTGTTCCCGACCACTAGATTTCATTACTTATATAATATTGTCTAAAAATTCCATACACCACGCCGTACGAAACAATGGTTAGTGACTTCATACAACAATGACTTGTTTTCGTTTAGTTAGCCAATAGTTCCTCATTCTAATTCCCCTTAAACTGACAATACACAGAGGAATAGGCTGATCTGGCATGTGTGAAACAGTAAAATCATCCAATTTGGCACAGGCTAACGTAATCGACCGAATTATATTTCGCGCCTAGAGATTGACCTAACGCAAATATTGTGGGTTAAGTAGTTTCATTATACATAAGCAATTCCGCTGGATAGAACTTGAAAGCTTCTCTGCCTTCCTCATTAAGTCATGTTAGTTTTAAAATTGTATCACTAAAGCCATCACTAGTCACTCCTGATTTATTGTCAATCAATTGACTACTTCATGTCACTTGATTAAGTTTAGTTACTTTACCCTGTAACACGTATTTCATTCATTAAAATAACAAGCAGATAGAGATGAAAGTAGCAGGGTCATTTGATCTAGGAAGTATATATATGTTAAAATAATGTTAAAACTTACCGCAAAGTTTGTAATAGTGAACACTAGAATTAAAGGTCATAAAGGCTATTTGACGTCTGCAGTCACCTGGGATCCGATCAATCAACGCTTCTAAACGTTTACAAGCAAGCTGTAAATAACCAGTAGCAATCGCATTATGACTGACATCAAAACAGAAAAGGTAAGTAGCCGGTTGAGGAGGACGAACTGTATATTCTGAAGGCGCAATAAATTCTACAGTAGCAGAACGAATTTCAGGTCTTCTAGAAGGGTCACCATAAGTTTGAGTTCCAGGGTCATAGTAAAATTCATCTGGGATAGTATTAGCCAGAAAGCAAACACTACACCTCCAGCGTCGACCGGAATCCATAAACTGTACGAACGGGTTGATATAAGTACGACAAGATCTACAACGTACTATGGTAGTTGAACTAATAGTGTGTAGACTACTCATATCTCGAAACGGATGCATAACAAGACCAAGAGGTAAACGACACTGAGTCAAAAGTTTTGAAGTTGATGGAACATTTGTTAACGTACATCGCATCACGTCTTGATCACAATTAATCTGAAAAGTCAAAACAAATCAAAAGCATAAACAAAGTACTGTAAAACCTATAAATGATGGTGAGTTTTGTTAAAATACGTAAAATTAATCAGACGACCTAAAATTAACTGAACTGAGGATACTGGAAGGATTTATAACATATACACACAAAATTATATGCATAACTATTAAACATAACCGTAATATAACGCAAGTTGAGTTTACAAAGTTCTTCAGAAAACGACTACAAAACAGTATCCAGTGAAAAGAATTTGAATCCATAACTTGAAAATCATATTGATACTAAGGTGGGACTAGACACAAAAACAACGCATGACCGTAACATAGATTTACACAATTTTGGGTCTTCACAGAAGGATAGACTATAGTATTCAACTTTATAAGTGACCATATATTTACAAGGACGTTATACACTAACTATTCAGGGCAATTTTCAAAATTCTATCAAAACGTTCAAAACTTAGTTTCATTAAGACCAAGAAAATAAGTGTACACAGACTACACAAAAATGTAGTTCCTGATGAGGTGACTAAGCGTAGCAAAAAATTCACAATCATGGCTCCTAAAACAACACACTCCGATAAGGGAAACTGTAGGCGCTAATTAGATTACTCCACACAATATCAGGCTTCCCAATATCAAACAGACAAAATGAAGTAATTAATAGGATGACAAAGATGTCCAGTCATATCTATAAACCATCTGAATAAAACAAATGCAAGTATTGAACCCTATTCTGATTAAAAAGGGCTGCATATGCGAACATATTACAGTGCTTAAGAATCTAATCTCGATAACCGTTTGATGATCACCAATCAACTATATGCCCAAGCATTTGTCTAAGTACATCAGATATTCAGCAAGAATATCATTTTAATAATTAACAATGAAGTCATTATATTCACCGACTACCATCCCCAAGGATTTCTGCTGATAACCCCTTAGGATTAGTCACTCTCGGGTCAAAAAATACCCTGCTTACTGGAGTAGTCAATGCAGGTTTGGGTGGTAGATCAGGTCCATCTGATGGTAACAAACAACGTTCTTGAAGAAGGTTGATTGGTGTTTTTAAACTGTTCCAGTCAGATACAGACGCTGCAGTTCCTGGTGTTCGAAAAACACCGGATTGTTCATAAGCTGTATGTCGAGGTGTGGCAGACTGTAGCGTATTTCCAGGTCTTGGAAGAGGTGGTTGCGGGTGATTTTGATGTGTTGTATTATTGGTCATCATGGGAACTGGAGGTAATGGTGGAGTCATTCCATACGATCCGACAGAATTCGAAATCGCATGCGCCTCATTCGTGACATGTGGTGGGTAGAGACTAGGCGATTTAACAGATGGGTCCATATTATAAGCTGTTGTGGAAGGTAGTACATTCTGTCCAGGAGTAAGTGTTCTTGGATTTGTGGGCAACACGGGACTAGGTTTATCAAATTGAGGATTAAGAGATGAATGCTGTTGTTGCTCACCATAAACTTGAGAAACTGCCTGCATGTTGGTAAACTCTGATGTGGAGTGACCACCTGAATTTAACGGGACGGATGAACGACACTCGAAGTTCGGAGGCTGAGAATAACCAGTGTAGTCACACACTGAAGTAGAACCACCTTGTGAAGTATAGACCTGATTATTTTCCATAATAGGTGAATGTAGGGGACTATAAACCGACGGATTGTGTTGATTAGATGCATTAAAATCCGAGTAAGAACTTGCATGAAAGGATGAATTGGAAATAGTATTTGTGGTTGGAAAAGACTGCAAATGTGGATTTGTTTCATACGGCCGAGGCGGATGAAGAAAACCTGTAATACAAAAAATCATGAAATAAAGTACAAGAAGACAATCTTTGGACGAAATCGAGTAGGTCTTACAATCTGTATGGATATTTAGTGAATGATTCAAAAGAAGAAATAAAAAACCGACTGCTTAGATACATTTAACTGGTCAGCTGAAACATAAAACAATTCATTAATCTCAAAATGTCAACACAGCTCAACAAACAAAACAAACCACATAATGGACTATGGATCAGACTTGAGTGTGACACTTGATTATACCACCAACCTGCTTGGAACCATGGCAATTAAGTGAATATAAACTTATGTGATCCAATATGTGTTAGGTCTCACACGTATAAACACTTCTGCCTAACAGTAATAACACTCAAATTTCTGCACAAGCAAACTTAGCATATAGTATATCATAAGCATGCACTTGAGCGATAAATCTTCATGACCATCTCATCAAGTAATTTACGTTTGATCAGCTACTTATCCTACCATTAAAACCTAGTCTTTTTTGGAGTTATGGATATGTTTTACACTATATGGTGAAATTAGGTACGTTACAAAAATATGATTATTTAGTAGTCTGTTTCCATCCTTTTGTGAACAGCATCGTATGGGGGGCAATAAATAAAATATATTTTATAGCAACGAACGTCAATGGCACATTTCAAAGTAAATAAAGAGGTTTAAATGTATCTAATATGCTATATATATATATATATATATATATATATATATATATATATATATATATATATATATATATATATATATGTTACCTGATGTAGGCCTGGTGGTGGGTATGTACGCTAAATTCGTATTATTGGTAGTAACAGGCAGACCATTTATACCATAATCAGATGGAGTTGCTGATACAAGCTGTGGAACCGAGCAATTTAGTTGCTGATTTTGAGTTCCTGAAGGAATAGTGAATAACCCAGATGATGGTGTAGAATTCTGAAAGGATTGATTTGAATTACGTCCTTCCATACAACTGAGAGTATTAGGATAAACCGGATATTGATAAAGATCTGTTGTTGATTGTGTTAATCCCCGATTAGCCTAAAATACACAAGTAAAGAGTCGTTTAGACTTAAAAATGATCAAATACTTGTGAAGTGAAAACGCGATAATACTAGATCTGGTCCAGTTAGTACAAATTGGATAGCCAGCTAGTGTTAATAGTCACTACATCTTTTGTGTACATCAAGACTTAGTACAGGAGTTTATACTTAGTATATGAGCTATATCAATGAACGAATTTAAGATGGTTTCAACAGACAAGTCATACTATGCTGGTTTGCAAATGAACAGGAAACAACAACTGTAAATAACAACAGTGACTCGTTAATCCACACAATCGATGTCCTCACAAGGGTATGTTTTTTTAAGTTAAGATTTCTTTCGAAAACTTCACACTATTAGCCACACCTAAGACGAGGATAAATTCTGTCATAATTCCTAATTGAGCAATTTATTACAAGGAGTATATAAGTAGTAACGAGGAATGGTGAAGCGACAGTCTAATGTTTGAAACGTTTGTCTTCCAACAACTAGGTTGCAATTTTAAATAATGTTCCATCTATTAGGATTTTAGAAGCCAAGTAGTACTAACAACCTAAATATTCTAAGCATGCTTGTAGACATATTTTCACTCAAGAACACAAACTGATAGAACAGATTACTGAAACCAAAAGGTTCAAACGGAGAGAAACGTGGATTACGAAAAAAATGCATGAAAATTTGTTTATTTGGTAACAAACGCCATAAAATACTTGAAAACAGCTGACATATTTCTACGGAGAAGCAAATTATAAGATTTGGTGATAAATGAAATTCATTCTAATCAAAATTATTTTGACGGTAATCTATCTTGAGCTTCAGATTTTTTCTAACTTTCACTTTACGTATGACCAGTTTTACTCTTAGGTCTCAGTTGTTATCATGCAGACCGCCATACTTACCTCAGAGCTTTCAAAGATGATGAATAGCTAGTCAACAAAATAGATTTATCCAGCATTCATCAATCTAATTAGTTGGACGGACAAAGTAAACCAGTTTGCTGTGAAATGCATCTATAGTCATGAAGAGTGGAAAATACGTGGTCATAGATATCCGATAGCAACTTTACCTAATATTGGCGCCTAACGGACCTACTGAATAAGAAATGACGGAGAGCTATGAGAGGAATGTCATTGGAAGTTGCTAGTTCGTACTGACTTGGATAACTGGGTAGCATCATATGTCCCTAACAAAAGTCTAGTCCTATATATGAAGTTAATTTAAAGAAAACTAGGTTGAGTGGCACCGGGGTATGAATTTACTGCTTGTTATTTTAAATCACGTGGAGTATAAGCTGTCTGGATAGTCCTAGTTTAGTGGTTGCGAACGTTGGATGACCCGGGAGAAAAAGGAATGCGACGATACAAATCAATTCACTTGTTTGAAATATTACCACCCGATTAAAGGGCAGTGAACCCCAATCAGTCAGTCAGCTACAACACAGCGAGCCCCTGACCTTTTCGGATCAGTCACAAAGAAATAATTTGAATGAAATAAAATAAAACAAGTACTCGAACCCAAATCTGCTGCGATTGGAGACTGTACTGTTAGATAATATTGGAGGGTATATGATCACAACACTCACGTAGTTGGAGTAGGTTAGGTTCCCAAAACAAAAGCGAAATGTTGTAGGTACCTAATTAAAATGACACCAAAAACTCGCCAGTCCCTGTATATCCTATTGCAAAGTGGTGCTGTGCCACCGCCTAAAACGATGTGGTAGTTTGTGCCCTTACGGTCAACACAAATATGTAAAATTACCTTTCGAACGTCAAAGAGAAAATATAGATGTTTCACTGAGAATAGCAGTAGCGTCAGTACATGTGTAAGATTTCGGTTTAACGAAGAGAAAAACTATATAACAGAAGTACTTTTGAACCTATGGACTGGAAGGATGCAATCGCCACTCTTATACATAAAGCCGGATCAAAATAACTTCCATCAAACTACAGACCTGTTAGCCTCGCCAGTACCGTAGTTAAAATATTGGAAAGAATAGTCAAAAAGGCAATAATGACATTTGTGGAAACTAATGACTTGCTAAATGGCGAACAACATGGTTTCAGAAAGGGTTTATCTTGCACAACAAACCTCCTTATAGCAAGGGAGCATTCGATAAAGGCACTAAACAATGGTAACTCACTGGATATTGTCTACATAGACTTCAGTAAGGCATATGACAAGGTGCCAACAAACAGACTGCTATTGACGTCAGAAAATCCTGATATTGCCGAACCTCTCTTAAAATGGCTTAAAGATTTCTTAGTAGGTTATAGACAGGAAGTAAGGATAAATTCCAAGTGCTCCACTTGGAAACCAGTACTTAGTGGAGTACCTGGGTTTTTTTTTACTTTTTATACCATATATAAATGATCTTCCAAGTATAGTAGAGTCCCCAGTGTTATTTTACGCTGACGATGTAAAAATCTGGTGAGAAATAACGCAGGACACAGATGCATGCGCACTTCAGGCAGACTTAAATATTGTGATTAACCGGTCTAAGCAGTGGCTGACATCCATCAACGCGGCAAAATGTCTAGAGGCATTTTGGGGACACAGGTTGATAGGTGCAGCATAGGGGAAGTGCCTGTACCCGTGGTTCAGTTTCACAAGGACCTTGCGATGACAGGAAGTCATGGTCTTATGACAACGGCCCATTGCCGGGAGGTTGTAACTAAAGAGTTTAGAACCCTATGTGCTTTAAAACGGACATTCACTAAGTTAGATACTACCATGTTCACCACAGCATATACAACCTTAGTGAGAACTAAGCTTGAGAACTGCGTTCAGGCTGCAAGCACGTTTAAAAGGTGACTCGGATATCCTTGAAAACAGTACAGAGGGAAGCTACCCATGCAATTCCAGGACTCCGGGGTTTACAGTACAAAGAGCGGCTTGAGAAGCTAGACCTGTTTTCTCTGGCCTAGAGCAAACTAAAAGGATTTAATTTTGATGTATAGGATACTAAGAAACGATTTTTGACCTGATATATTCTTTTCTTTCCACTATATCGGAAAATCTCAAACGATATAGCAGGCGAGTAGAAGGGCCAAGAACTAACAAAATACCTGTGGCATAGAGGTTTTCACACTGAGTCATCAATACTTGGAACCTGTTACCCGAAGCAGTGGTGTCCGCACCTTCAGCTGAATCATTCAAGAAAAGACTGGACACTTATAGAAGTATACGAGAAAAGGAATAACATAAGCCATAGGCCTTCTGTCCTTATAAAACAAATCTGAATCTGTAGTTTGGATGTTTATAACTTGCTTTAATTTGGTTGTGCTTAAACAAAGGATAAAGGGGACGTGTTAACCGGATTGTACGGACAATAAGTGGCATGATAGCTATATGGATCTAGATTATCTAAAGATTTGGGATTATTTAGTCGTTAATTAACAAGTATTCCTTGGAATACTTGGATCTTGGAAGTTTATCTTTTTACCGAAACACCATCAATTAAGAAGTTAGTACTTACTTCTGGGGTGCCCTCATTGTTGTTTAACAAATGCTGTTGCTTGAGTGGGCTTTCATGCGAGAAATCATTCCAGTTGGCATTTGGTATTGAATTTCTAGAGTAGTTTGCTTGTGGGAAATACGGCATTTCAGGATTATTCATGTTGTGAAGTCTGTTTGATACTTATAACTATAAATTATTGGGTTTTAATGTCAGGTACTCGAAAAATACAAGCCACTTGAATACTTCTTTGCAACTACTAACTGACTAACATACTTGATTAAATAACCCTGAAGCCGCACCACGTTAAACAACATCATTGGCAAATTAAAAATACTTGTCGCTCAATATCCAATTAAGGTTTGTAACTCTGTTGAGCAAAATTACTGGCCTGTGAGCCCTATGGAATGTGTCTGGATTACAGGAGATGTTCCTTTTGCATGAAAATGTTCAGCCTTCGTTTCATTTTCTGGAAATCTGAAGTAAATAATTTTTATGTGAAATTGAATTAACACGACAAATATTCGAGGTGCAGCAACTGTAGATGGTCAAACGTGTGTCAAGCTAAACTCCTATTCTTGTCATGTCTATGGATTTACTCCGATGTCAAATCTAGACAACCGATCAAGTTGAGGAAATTCTCAAGTAATTTTCTCGATGCTCCTTTAAAGTTTCTTCCAAAGATTTATCCTCAGATACGTTTTCTGATAATAATAATAATAATGTATGATGGAGGTTTTAGACAATACAAACTACTCTGGAGTTGCCATTTTATTTTCGAAAAGATAGAAGACTTCAAAATGAGTTTAACAAGAGAAGGGTTTCCGTTTTTACTTAAGTATGTTGAGGTATTGATTCCAATCCTGATCTCTCAATAACTTTGAGAAACAAAATAATTTTTCACAAACACATAAGTTTCTGCTAGCTTTAACGGATACTAATATGTAAAGGCGCTCGGCCAAGCATACTCATACACTCAGTGCGTGATCTTAAGTGGGATGTTTCTCTTCCTTCAGATAACTATTTTGGAATTCGCAACCTCTACTACATAAATCGGCAATCGAATGTACTTCCCATAACGTAAAGAGGTACAAGAAAATCATCGGAAGATCACTTATTCTGAATTGAGTACATATTCAAAAGATACTTTACCGAGATTTATATTTGGAATTTACCATAAATATTTATTTATAGTAATATTATCTACCAAACAGATGTCTAGCCATTGTGAAAAACACAAAAATCAGACATTCTGTATCGAAATGAGTGCATTTCATTCCAGCTGCTAAAGCAGTTTGTTCAAAAGCAAAAGAAAGTATAATCAATACCTGCTCTAACACTTGAGTTCAATACAAAAGTGTAAACTTATTAGCAAATAATCTAAAGATCGAAAAACTTTTTGAAGCTTCACAACGACATTACGCGTAACATCTTTGTGATCGTAGTATGCCAACTAAGCCAAATCAGAAGTCAAAAATGATGGAGTTCGAAAATACGTATGGAACGCTAACGACATACCGAGAAGCTTTTGATCTAGGTAGGTTGGCAGTTAAATGGAAAGAGTGCCAAGACGTATTCACTAGCGATCTGGTGAAGATGAGTGACCGAGCGCACATCCAATAAAATTAGTACGGTGACCATCAATATCGAACATTTACAGAACTATTTCTTTCGGGAATTTATTAGCCGCTACAGCTCACTCCCCATCAACCAGGGCTGTGATGACCACAAGACGTGGACGGTCACAATTTTAAGCTCAACGAGCCCGTCGTTGGTAATCACTTATCTAATAGCTTGCCATGTTCAGCAGTGTCTGGTCGTCCGTACCTAATATACGGGGACATGTGCTACAACACAACAATGACAAATATCCAATGAAAATTTCTATTCGTCGTTTTTTGTCGCTTCATCCTACAAAATTAAGCCAAAGAAATTTTAAGTGCGTATCGGAAAACACTCGCACGTGAGTAACGACACAAAACGGACGAGAATAAGAAAAGTAGACTGGTATATATATAGAATTGTGGTCTAGTCCGTCATTTTTATCGCTATAATACTGAACCTAAATTGTGTATTTGTCATCATGTAATTACCTAATTTTTATGATCTTTTCATGGTAATTGTTGAATAGCCATTTTCCCATTTGTCACATGTTCAAATTTGTGGATTGTGTGGTTGGGACCAATGCCACTACTTACATGCGCACTATTATCATACTGTAATGTAAAAACATTTTTGCATAATTATAGTCTTCGCGTTTTCTTAGGGAACAAATATACACACATATGTGAGTATATTAGAAAAAATGATGTTCGTTTTGGGTCTTTTCACAAAGTTATACAAAAGATTGAAATATAACAAAATGTTGTACATTGTCCTACGCGCAACAATTGTTCAAGTGTTCAGGAAACCTTATCTATTTTCCAGAGCTCGGTCTTTTGGGCCGGTTGACAGATATCGGAGTAGTTTCTTCGTGATTATTTATTATCGGGTGATGTATAGTAGTTATGAGGCTCGTGTCGTTCGAGAATATCGTAGGAATATCAACAATACTACGGTTTCCCTCTAAATAAACAACATTAAAACGGTAGATACTGACGTTATCATTTGTTCCATTCTATCGACTATATAGTGTTTAGGTTTGTGATGTGGAGCTTTGAAAGGTCTCTCGTATACCCTTTCCGAGTGGTCGTCGTAATGAGTCGCGACATACAAAATTGTGTGTACTATGTTGTAAGTCGAGTCGAACGAGAACACCCGTTGACTGCTGTCGAGTGGAAACAGGTTTAACCAAACGTCCGGCGTTTTCATCCATGCTCGAGTAGGATTTCGGATCCTCATTCATTGAGGATGAAGGACCTACGAATACTCCTAGAAGTCGAGATGCCGTTCCCTAATCCAGTTGACCTGCAGTGAATCCAATGTCAGCTTTCACTGCATTGTGAATGCCAAATAAAACGAGCAGAATAGCATCAAACCACTGTGAAGCATTTATTGCTGAGAGTGAAGCTTTCAACTGTCGGTGAAAGCGTCCTAACAACCCGTTCGCTTGTGAATGGAAGGTGGTTGTTCGGAATTGTGTGATTCCTAGTAGTGTAGCAAGACAAAGGAAAAGTCCAGATTCGAACCAGAGTCTACGGTCTGTAGTGATAGGTGAAGAGCAGTCGAAATTCGCTACTCACCGCTTGTCGAAAGCGCAGGCCACTCTATCAATAGTAATGTCCTTGATGCTGCTGTTTCTGGCTATCGCGTGAAGTGGTCTACACAAGTTAACGCGTAAGAGTATCCATTTGAATCTGGTAAGAGTCCTACCAAATCCAGATGAACATGGTCAAAACGAGTGTCTGGAGTTTTAGATGAGCCTGAGGGATATTTGTCGTGTCTAATCACCTTGAATTTCTGGAAGCTCACACAGATGCGTGCACACTTCCTTACGCCTTTGTTCATACCAGGTCAGGAAAATAGTTATGTGATGAGCATGATGGTTGCTCGAACACCTGTATGCGAAAGGTTGTGCAGCGTATTGAAGACATTGCGTAGATCATGTCCCGGTAAGACTGGACGATCCATACCTTTAGATGTGTCACATTTCAAAGTTTCTTTACTTTTTCCCATATGTTTAAATACACAGTTCCAAGGTTGTCGAAGATAACTCGGACTGAACATCAATGTCTTCTTTTTGAATAAGGAAGAGCTTGAGAAGGTCGATACGTTGGAAACTGTTCTAACAGGTCATACGAGACAACATTGTTTATCCTCGAAATATGTTTTATATCTGAAACGATCTGTGAAATATAGTCAACTTGTCGAGACTCACGACGGGAATACTTGTCTGAGTTCGGGCTTAGAGAAAAAGTAAGCATTCTACAATTCATAAATAGAGCGAATTCCTGACCTATATAAAGATGAAAGCGGCAACGGCACAGTACATGGCTTGTGATCCCCTTCTGAAAATGCTATACCTCGATTCAGTGTCGACCATCTCGAGAATGATGCTGAAAGTTGACAGGTGTTGTTTACCCATTTTCATAAGACTCCTTTGATTGCTGAATCCGAATAGTCCTCTGGAACACTAATGAGTTCTTTGATGTCCTTGTGTACACGCGTCGTTGCTTTAACTCTAATTTCCCTAACTGTGGAGAATGTTGTACAAATCGGTGAATTTTGCATCCCCGCGTGGTTGATCTGTCAAGGGTCTTATGATAGACGGGTAAATTGATGAGAACCGTCGATAAAAACTTACCGTGAGCTCAAACGTTCGTAACCGTTTGACTGCAGTCGTTTCTGGGTAATCCAGAATGGCCACTAGTTTGTTCTACAGTAGGCGACTACCTTGCGCATCAATAGTGTTCCTGAATAGGTCCCGTGAGTCAGCTCCGATCTAACATTTCTGAATGTTAACAATAATGTGATGTGTGTAATTTGTGTGCATATAACCGAACAATCATGTCTCTTTCTTTACAATTGCTTCAGTTAAACGATAGATATTGAATAGAAGTGTGGTTATATATGTAGAGCAAGTGAAATGTCACTGAGACCTAGTCAAATCATCCGGCATTTGGCTCACTGAATATCAAACAAATCATCGATCCTCGTCAAGATCAAGGACAACCAACGCTCATCAGTTGGTCGTATGTCATAAACTGGCTCGTACGGTGGTGGTCTCGCTATCTTCTTTGTGTTCATTCCTACTAACATGTTTCCATAATAACGTCCTTTGTGTTATACGGTCTTCTAAGCAGCCATAGTACTTTGATACGTCAAAGGAATAATCCTGTAGCGACATTGGGCCCTAACCACACAATCCTCAAATATGAATACGGGACAACTGGGAAAATAGATATTCAAGATCTAACGTGGAGAAAAACCCGACGATGGAGAAGGCGGAAAGAATGAGTTGAATTTATTCCAGTTGATCGGATGGCATGGCTCGGCCTCGCAGGCATAGTCGTTCTGTACAACTTGCAGTTACTCATATTAAATATATTGTTCTATCTCCAGCCTGAATGTGTTCTCCATCATATATTGGTAACTGTTACGATACAATGAGTCAGTGTAGACATTGATGTGACTCCCACATAAGATCTTATAGATCAGGCAGTTATATCATGAAAAATCTGCAACTTTAGGATTAGGTCTATTATTACAGCAGTACTAACATCATAGTGGACCTTAATTCTACAATTCACGTTAGATGCTGACCGCGAGGTGTGACTTCAAAGTTCGCTGGTTCGTCACACCATCCCCATATAACTCGAATATGCCTCCAATAATTCGATATAAATCATCTACGGTGGTGATCTACATATATAAAGTGTGACAAATAGGGGAAAGTGCGGTTTTTATTTGGTGTTACAAAAGTAATTGAATAAACATGTCACAATAAGCCTAGTTGTTGGCGGTAATATATATTGTACAGGATTGCAGACGATCCGATAACAGTTAATTAACAAGGGTGTTTGTTCGATAAGGCTGATTTTTACATTGGATAAAATAAAGACTCATGCTTACACCTCCTAGTGTTTGGGAAATATTTAGTACACGAATTGGGAATGAATGTTAAAACTATTGTGCACAGTCAACAATCATACAAAACTAGAGATAGTTTACAACAGTTGGTCACGATCAGGAGAAATGTGTACATTTTTCAAATACTAGAAGAAATGTTTCGAAAATATGAATTACGTGTAACATTTTTACGGGTGTGTGTAGGAACATAGCTTCTGTACGTATTTCCTATGGCAATAGCCTTTTGCTTCCCTTCAATTATACATTCATTTTATTCAGTTCTGTGAAGTGTTATTTGGTTCGAAATAAAATTATTACCTATAGATATTTATTATTATGGTTTTGAATTCACAGCTACTTCAACGGCTGCGTTAGTTTTGTTTTACGTAGGCTTTCGTTCTAACAGTTGCCATATTTGCTTTATCGTGGTCTTTAGTACCCTGAATTGATTAGTTGTCAAGCAGAAAGAAGTGGTCCTACCACGATCAAACTACGCTTTGACCTAAAAAGAATATTGATCAGTCCATTTTGCCTAAATTCTGAGTAGTTAAACTTATTGAGTCAACTAAACGTTACCAAGCTCGAGTCAAATCGTCCATCAGTCTGAACCTCTGCTACCTTGTACGATAGGTCAATGGACGTTTTGCAGCTTATCGAAAACCGTCAAGATCAAGGTTGGTTAACGTGAACTAGTCAAGTGAACATTATGGGCAATCACACGCATCCTCATTTATATTACAATAATCTGTTCCTATTAGTGTACCTTTTTAGCGGTGATGTCATCTATTTTGGACAGACTCCAAGTAGTTGAGAAAGCTAGTATTATGATAAGATGATGCAGGTTAGGTATTATTTGTGGCATGACCCTGTAGCGGTAAATAAATCCCCAAAATAAATAGCACTGTAAGTTTTCGACATTGGATGCTGACCATATGTTTTAGTGGACTCATCTAGCTGAAGGCGCTCGGTCATGCATCCGCACCAGATCACGTGTGGTAACGCCGTGCTCAACATCAACCGCAATCGCTGGCCAGATTAGATCAGAGAATTCCGATATATTGGTCATCGCCAAATACACTCTTCCGATCTCCTCGACTCTGTCTTTTGATTTCTCTGGATGGGAACGAAATATATTAGAAGGTGTTACTGGTAGAAGCGTTGTCAAACACTGAATACCTGTGACATCCTTCGTTGGTGAGACCGACGTGATCTGGTACACCTAATTGCAACTGTGAGTCTGTTCCTTTTTGGGATTTTTATATATCATCGCCTTATTTTTTATTCTTCAAACATTGTGATTTTTTTCGTGTTTTTCCTTGGATATATATTTCTTCCCCTCGTTCATTATCGTACTTCATATTTCATCATGACTGAACAGACACCCAAAGTACTCAAGCTTAAGACTTTGTCCCCGCCTTCGTTTCAACTGATGCCTTTCTGGTCCGACAACATCGAAGCCTGGTTCTGCTATGCAGAAGCCGACTTCCAAGAGCACGGCGTGATCGACACACGTGCACAATTGCTCGCAGTAGTCAAGGCACTACCGCGCGAATTCAACAGGTACGTAACACCTAGTATGTTTACTAGTGATGTTTCCGATCCTTACGAAATCTTAAAACGCTCGATTCTTAAACGAGGAGACCTAACCGATCGACAAAGGTTAGATCAACTCTTCAATAACATCGACCTGCAACACGGTTCTGCGACGGACATGTTGCAACGGATGAGAGAGGTAATAGGCCCAAGAATTTTCAACGAAGGTCTATTCAAACAACTCTCCTTGTTAAAACTTCCCCAACAGGTGCAAGCAGTTCTGGTCTCGTTTCAGAACAATGCCTTAGACGAACTAGCTGCATCTGCCGACCGCATTCTAGAAATTACGAAACCTACTACCGAGGTATTTTCAGTCAAAGAAAAGCCTCACACAACTCAGAATGATGTAATCGACTTATGTCACACACTCACGCGTTATCTTAGTCTTCGTACCGACCGTAAGAGACCGCGCACACCACGTAGAAGCATTTCTCGTAAGCGATCTGTCTCTAGACCACGAGAGACAGATAACCCCGACTGGTGCTGGTATCATAACCAGTATGGAAATTTTCCAGAAATCGCAGAAAACCCTGCAATTTTCCCAACACGAAACCGACTGATTCGAAAAGCAATTCGGGAAACTTCCAAGCCAGCACGCGTTAACGGCAACCGTAGCCGGCGAACAAAGCCGTCTGTTATTCGTCACAGATGTGACAACGAGAGTTCGCTACCTCGTCGACACTGGCGCAGAAGTTAGCGTTCTCCCTGCGAATTTCAACGACCGACTTCACGAATCGACCCTAAACTTACAGGCGGCAAACGGAAAACCTATCGCTACGTATGGCAAAAGGTACGTTTACCTTAACGTGTGTTTACGCAAACCCATTCACTGGATCTTCGTTGTCGCAGATCTTTCTATGCCAATCATTGGTATGGATCTTCTACAACACCATAATCTGATCATCGATATGCGCAAACGGAGGCTAGTAGACGGAAACACTAATTTATCCGTTTGCGTAACTTCTTTTACCGATTGCAAATTATCCCCAGTCACAATTAAGCATATGACAGACCCATTCTATAAGCCACTACTCGATAAGTACCCTGGGATACAACAAACTCAACCGAGATTACCGTGTGTAACCAGCAACGTTACACATCACATCACGACTACAGGACCACCTGTATTCTCTAAAGCACGACGACTAGCTCCCGAAAAGCTAAGGTTAGCGAAAAACGAGTTCGACCATATGATAGACTTAGGAATCATACGGCCGTCAAGTAGCCCATATGCATCTCCGTTGCATATGGTCCTTAAAAAGGAGAGCAACGATTGGCGTCCAACTGGTGACTATCGGCGATTGAACGCGAAAACCATTCCCGATCGTTACCCGTTGCCTCACATTCACGATTTGACAGCTACCTTGAAAGGTACAACTGTCTTTTCGAAAATCGACTTGGTTAAAGCGTATAACCAAATTCCTATGGCTACTGACGACATACCGAAAACAGCCATCATAATTCCCTTCGGACTCTATGAATTTTTGCGAATGCCTTTCGGTCTAAAAAATGTTGTTCAAACATTCCAAAGATTCATAGACGACGTTTTTCGAGGTCTCAACTTCGTACATGCGTATGTTGACGACTGTTTAATCGCAAGTCCGGACAGAGAAACACATCTCAAGCATCTGGATCTTGTTTTCGAACGATTACAAAAACACGACATTACTGTAAACGTTCAGAAATGCCAAATCGGAGCTGACTCATTAGACTTCCTAGAACACACTATCGATGCTCAAGGTATCCGACCCCTTAGAACCAAAGTGGCGGCCATTCCGGATTACCCAGGACCGACCACCGTCAAGCAATTACGCACGTTTAACGGCCTCGTAAGTTTCTATAGACGTTTCATACCGAAACGCGCATTACTTATGAAACCTCTGACCGACCAACTTCGTGGAAATGCGAAATCCATTAAGTTGGACGACACCGCACGAAAAGCATTCTCCACAGTTAAGGAACTGATTGCTAAAACAACAATCTTCGCACATGAGGACACCGAAGCACCCATTAGTATCGCTGTAGACGCATCCGACTCAGCAATCGGAGGAGTCTTACAACAATGGGTTAACAACTACTGGCAACCCTTGGCATTTTTCTCTAGACGGTTGCTAGACACCGAATCAAGGTACAACACATTCGGTAGGGAACTCCTAGCTATGTATTGTGCTGTACGGCATTTCCAACACTACATCGAAGGCCGTGAATTCACTCTTTTCACGGACCATAAACCGCTCACTTTCTCGTTAAGCTCTCCTTCTGACAAGTACTCTCCCCGTGAGTCTCGACAACTGGACTACATTACACAGTTTACTTCAGATATTCAACACATCTCTGGAGCAAACAATGTAGTTGCAGACGCCTTATCTCGCATAACTTCCTTGAACAGTTTCCAAGGAATCGACCTTCTTAAACTCGCCGAGCTTCAAAAAGAAGACAGTGATCTTCAGCACGAGTTATCGTCCACAACACTTAAACTACGCATCAAACAGATGGGAACAGGTAAGGAAACCTTACTTTGTGACACATCTACATGTAGGGATCGCCCAATCGTGCCGAAACATTATCGACGCAATGTCTTCAACACATTGCACAAACTTTCGCATCCAGGTGTTCGTGCAACCATCAAGCTTATAGCAGAACGGTTTTGCTGGCCTGGCATGAATAAAGACGTGACGGAGTGGGCACGCTCCTGTGTAAGCTGCCAAAAATCTAAGGTCATCAGACACAATAAATGTCCCTTAGGCTCATTTAAAACTCCCGATGCTCGTTTCGACCATGTTCATCTGGATTTGGTAGGACCTTTACTAGATTCAAATGGATACTCTTATCTCTTAACCTGCGTAGACCGTTTCACTCGATGGCCGGAAGCAGTACCTATCAAGGACATCACTGCTGAAACAGTGGGTCGCGCCTTCGTCGAACGATGGGTAGCATCGATCGCTTGAAAGCAGCATATTTAGAAGGAAATCCTATCTACATCGATTTTCCTTCGGTACAATCGCACAACACGACTCCTACACTCATAATTCCTCAACCGACAACCAACACTAGCGATGATACTCCGAATGTATCTGAAAATAAACTTAAAACGACGCGTTCTGGAAGAAGAGTAAGATTTCCAGAACATTTAAACGACTACTGCACGTAAGGCACTACTCGACATTTTATATTATCCCGATCTTTCTTTTTAACGATATATAATTTTTTTTTAAAAAGACAATTTTATTATGCTTATATATTTATATTTTTATTAAGAAAAAAACAAAACATAAAAAAACATTTTTTTAACGCTATTACGTGTGCCGACATTGTGTTTTTACGCACATACGGGTGTATTTCGACATGCACTTACATCTTCTTTTTTCTTTTCCAGGACGGCTGGAAAAGAACAATGCAGTTTACGAGGAGTCGAAATTTTCGTTGTAACTCTTTCTTTTTTACTATGTTGTACCTCGGTCTCATATAGTAAGGAAAGACGACCAGCCGCTGCTACACTTAGTAAGCTATCAGAAGAGTGTTTACTAACGACAAACACGTTGGGTTTAAACTTCTGGTTGGCCACGTCTTAGCGTCGTCACTGCCCCACTAGAGGGGGGAGTGATCTGTAGCGGTAAATAAATCCCCAAAATAAATAGCACTGTAAGTTTTCGACATTGGATGCTGACCATATGTTTTAGTGGACTCATCTAGCTGAAGGCGCTCGGTCATGCATCCGCACCAGATCACGTGTGGTAACGCCGTGCTCAACATCAACCGCAATCGCTGGTCAGATTAGATCAGAGAATTCCGATATATTGGTTATCGCCAAATACACTCTTCCGATCTCCTCGACTCTGTCTTTTGATTTCTCTGGGTGGGTACAAATCATATTAGAAGGTGTTATTGGTAGAAGCGTTGTCAAACACTGAATACATGTAACATCCTTCAACTCCGACATAACGTAGGAGGTCACACCATTCGCGACCAACAGGAGCAGAGCTTGATCATCCAAACAGGTCACCTAAGTTGGTGCTCTACAAGTAATAAGTAATAACGGTAAATGAAATGCAAGAGTCATTTGACCAATCACCGGCCAACAACAACAAAAATTCCTAACAAACAATGAACTCACCTCAGTTTCAGTTAGATGGAGCGAAACTAAGCAATCTATACATGACCAATCAAAGGGCAGTAAAACAAAGAACCATCTCAAGTAAAACATGAATGTCACAATTAGTACGATGACAAACTGTTTATCGGAATGCAAACAGGAAGAGCAGCACTTACAAGATAATATACATATTAGACGACAATATGATGACAACTGTTATGTAAATGAAATCTATCTGAGAATTACGTTTTGGGTAAGCATCACAAATGGAGTTCTCCGAATTACTAAGTGTCCTTCTACATGATTGACACACCGCGTGTAAAGAAGGATAAACCCATACTACTCCTTCGTATTTGGATTGTTGATGCTTGAATCGACATATAGTTTGACGGTAGAATTCCGTCCTCAGATTACTTGAGAGTGCTTCTCCTCTTCACAGAAATACAAAATACAGCAGTTTGGACGTTAAAGTAGTAAATTCATATACGTTATAATTTTTACCGACTTGTTTTCTTCCAGACATATTTTCAGTCATGTTTTACCTAATTCACTAACAGGATTATATGCTAGTATTAATTCAATAATTTGAATGCGACTGTGTATTTATCTCAGTACTTGTATCTGCTGACATCTCTACCTTCGGTCTTAGTGCTTATAAAGATGTCCCATTAATAATTTGTAACTCGCATACCCATTCATCTTAGTACTGACGTGTCGCTTACATTTTTGTATACATATGTACAAAAATCCCTTTATGTTTGCACTCCTTGTTACAGTGATTCTGCGTCTCCACATGAATGGTGTTACTTTCCTAAATCTTTGCAGTCACATGTAAAATGACTTGGTTATGTCTCAAGAAAGGTTATTCCCATCATTTTGTTTACTCTCTTACATTTTGTATGATTTCTTTGGCTTTGTTTGGCGCTTTACTAGCTGAATTAATTTTGTTCCGCCTGACCTCTTAATTTGACGATTATCGTCTTGACTCCTAGTGGTTGAATGTTGGATTTCAGTTGCCTGATTACTTCTATCTCACGAATACGGGTACGTATCTTGTTTGAAAAATATGAGGTTGTATAAGGTCTTCAAAAAACTGTTGGCCATGTAAATCTATAAAAGTATTGTTCAGTAACATCATAATAAACATAAACTCGTATGTTAATGTATATTTAAGTAAATGCTAAAGTGACTGAGGAATTCGGATATAATACAAAAGTAGTGACATTCTCAGTACACAAGACTAAATTGATTTCAAACATTATTTGCATCAGCTGATTTGTCTGATAAACATTTAGCATGTCGATAATGTACACTAGTAATAAATCAATTCGGTTTTAATTATGTATACGGTTTCTTAAATATTTCAAGTAGAAGTAAATCTACTTACTGACAGTAATTTTTAGTGCAAACGATCTGACTCCAATTTGATCGTGTGATGATTTTAACGACATATATATGCCCCCTACCCTCATACGTAATCATTGACACAATTCGTGTCCGTGAATAATGGAATAAAATAGGTCAATTACGAGAACGAGTTTTGTGTTTGCACATTTTATAAACTCGTTATCCTAGACAAATAATATAATAAATAAAGAAGGGAAGCAAACATACGAAATCGCTATACTGCTCATAATAAGCGCTAATGTAACTCAAAATATACAATGCGTAGTGTGGCAAGGAGACAAGAATTGGATAAAATAATATATGATGGATGCACAAGCACATACAAAATACGTTAACACAGACATATAAGGAAATAGAAATAAGACATGTATGTGCACTGAAGGTCATAACTTCTTATAGAACAATGAAATTATTAAGAAGGTTAACTTGACTCAATTTTCGCATGCTGTATGACTGAATCAGGTTCGTTTAAAATTCAGAATGAGTCACGCAAGTATATATTGGTACCAGAAATTATAGAAGAAGCATGAGAAAACATCGAAAGTTGACAGGAGTAATTCATTTTCGACTTGAAAATAGCAATATGGAACACAAGAAAGATCAGCAAAATAATATTTAAATATGAACAATGCTCGATGGTGGCTAGAAGTTGAATCCAGTTTGACGCACGTTTCGCCCCATTCGGGGCTCGTCAGCTGGATGTACCTGCAGCTCAGGGTTGGTGTTCACTCTGGGACTCGAACCCAGTAGCTTTCGCTTCAAACGCTATCGCGTTATCCACTTAACTACTGAGTCCTGATAGCCACTTGCTTGTGCAATGTGGTGAAGTTTAATTCACTTGGTATTGTTTTACTTGAATCTTCCCATTGATGTTAGGACTACATTTGATCAATCTCTTATTGGCATATGTGCATACTGTGAGTATTGCCTCGATATTGTCTTAATTTGCAAGCATTATAATGTGATAACTATAAGTATTTGAACAATAGTATGAACTAAGAATCCCAGAAATAACGTAATCGGACCAAGAAGTACTAGATAACCACAAACGAATGTACTGCGTTTAGAATTCGAAATCAAGCAATCAACAAGTACAAAGGAATCATCATTTCATTCAAACACCACATATGAGCAAAGATGGATCAATTTCAGTCCTAAACATCAATATGAAGTCTCAAGTAAAACAATACCAATTGAATTAATGCTTAAATAGTCTATGTTTGACATCGCTATGTACGATCACAAATATAGCTGATAATAAGTTGCAGCTGAATAAGCAACACATAAAACAACATAAAACCACAAAGATCTACAAACACAGTCTCAGGCTTATCATTAAACATTGAAAATCAGTGGAATAGAAATATAGTCAACGATTTATGAAGTAATAGAATTGAAACAAAGATCAATGGCTGGGAACGTGATTCGCATACCAGTTACGGAAGCCATAAAGCAAAGTGCAGACGCAGTAGAATCACAGAGCTCCATCTCCTGGAAACATAGAAAAACAAAATCTATGGATCCACAAGCAACAAGCAATGACGGTTTAGGACAGCATCAACAAACACACACAACAAATAATGGAGTCACAACCCAATTAAAAAGTCATTCGAAAATAGTATCCCCCTGATCCATACAACTCGAACATGCAAATGAACGATGAGTGGTATTCACACACAAAGTTGTCCAACATTTCGGAAAGTATAGATGTAAGGACATCCGACTAAACTAGCAGCATGTGAAAGCGAAAAGAAGTGTGGTGAATAACTGACTAATTTAAGATGGAATTAAATGTTTGGTGGTGTGTTCAAACCTACCAGCACAAAATATTACAATTTCATACTGCCTACGTAAAACTCAACATCTTATTTGAGTCCTGTCAAATTTCTAGAATTATTGTGATTAGCAGCATTCCATGATCTCCTCTCAAATCCATAAAAATCTACAACTGATGACGGTAATTGAAATGCAACAAAATGGATAATATGACTCATAACTAAGTTGTGTCTTTCTTAAAAAATATATTCGTCGTCACACATCCTTCTGAGTTTCACCATACATTATCCGACAGTTGCGTAGGGAATTGAAATAGACTTATCTAGGAATGTCAAAGATTCTAGTAGACTGTAGGCATCCTTTCCGATGGTTGTGAGGAAATAAGCCATAACTTGAGCATTCTTAACATCTATCCTGGTCATAACACAGATTTCGAAACATCCCATGTAATGTTCGAAAAATTCAGAATTTAAATACATAAACAACTATTCAAAAATACTCACCATTGAGGTGCCAATATGATGGTTAGAAGTACTCAAATTATTGCACTAACCGGGAATTTCCAAATTAATGCAATTAATTGTATGTAAGAAACGATGAGCACAAATGAACGTATTGTATTTGGAAATCGAAATGTACACTGAATCAAATACAGAGGAGCATTGGTTCGTACAAATACCACAGGTTCACATTACATTATCTGACACTACTGAACACGGTTTTCCAGACGATTGACGTCTATTCTATCGTCAACGAAATGCGTACTGTCACACATCAACTCTTTCGTGTTCCAATAATCACCCTAACATACTTGTCCTCTTACATTAAACACTGAGCATTGAGATAAATTTACTTTGATAACATTTGATTAAGAAAACATAAGGCAAACCATTCCTCAAGTGTCTTTTCCCATCCTGAGGAGATGAACGAACGACTCATTAGACCGATTGTTGCACAAAAATAGAATCCACATTCAGAAATCTTGCAACACATACATACCGTCATTGCATTTATTGTTCACATAAAACAAAATGGTGTACAAGGACCCAACAAAATCAGATGCGAAAAGCACAGTTCAAATTCAAAAAAGTGAAACATTTATCAAGATAACTACATCAATACATCGATCAGGTCAATCCTGTTCAACACTGCTTCGCTTATATCGACTTATCATGAAGATCATTCAGTGTTGTTGAACAATAGTTTGTGAGACCACAAACGTTCATCTCCCCTGTTCGAATCACTGACTTGTACACACGTCTCACGATTAAATACAACACAGAGTAGCTCAGTAAGATGTCACCCGAAATTAACACACATATTCCAGTAGCATATAGAATGACAGATCGGATTTGCTGGTTATCGATCTGATGAGCACGAGCTTCATTCACATCAACTGGTTGTGAATAATTGTATTTGTAGTGTTCAATGGGATGTAATAAGTGAGTGTATTTGATGGATGAACCAAGTGCGTATAGCAAAAAGACAAATGACAACGTAACTCTAAATGATGATTTATTATTTCTCAGCATTTTTGATTATGCGTGTGAAATGTGCCCACAAAAAATACAGTGTGACCGAACAAACGTTTGATCTTTCTGAGTGCACTTGTACTCGGTTAATCATTGATTGTCTGCTCAGTTTACTCTTCATAATTTCATGTTTTCCTACGTACAAGTGCTTTTTGTATTGTTTCAAAAATTGTTTGTAGTGTAGTATTATTGTAATTAATTGACAATTATTGATCGATGTCGTGAGTATTTGTCATTGTTCTGTACATCCGTTTTGTTGAACCAGGACTACATTTTCGAAAATCTTGTCTACACATCAGAGCTGAAAACATAAGCGTGATTCTCTGTTCAATACACTTAACAAGACTTCATGTAGCATTGAGGTTTTACTTGTATAAACAGCTTGTACCAATTCATTGTTAATATTTAGGCAGATCTGATTGACCAGTCGTTTCATGGTGAAAATGCCCGTTGTTGATTTCACTGCTACTCATCAGACGACATAACAGTGGCGATTTTTCAGAGTACATCATACCCAATAACCACTTATCACTAAACTACTTCATCTCATTGGATGCTATATCTGAATATACTGCATTTGATCAGAATACACCGGTAATCAACTCGGATGTGCATTCCATATAAAGTCTGATTATGATAACTTCGTGATTAACAATAACAGTACAATCAGCGGTCTCGTGAATGTAGGTTGTCTCGAACAACTTG